TTTCCGGATATGTAATGTAATCAGCTCCTATGGAAGCATACAATTCCAAAAAAAAAAAAAAAAAAAAAAATTTGTAGGGATTGAGTAGTGCAGAATAAAACAACTATCGAGTTGCAGCCTCTCTGGAAAGATCTGCATCCCATCATTGGTCAACTGATATTTAAGCCTATGGTTAGAACAATTTTCAGCTATTTATTTGGAGACCACATGGTAAAATGCAAAACTTTGTGTCATTGTGATCTGCTGCCTGCTTGCACTCCAAATACTTATAAGCTTTCAAGAACCACTTGTGCTGCCACTTCTAAGTTTCTTATCCAAAGGCGAAAAATACCCTTTACCACAGGAATTCTGCAATTGAGAGATGCTTGAAGGCTAGCATAAATAAAAGTTACATGATGAGGTCACTGAAGATTTGAATTCTGACCCTGACTTTCAAAGTTCAATTAACATTCCAATTAGGTTTTATTTGAAGCAGTTCAGCAGTTATTGCTGGACCAGTTATTTTGGTGGTAAAGATATGATGTTTTTTGGGGGATGGAGATGGAGGGCACATAAGAAACAGGGAAAATCTGGGCAGCCTGTTCCAGTGCTGTGTCACCAACAAAGTAAAACATCAAAGTAAAGTTTTTCCTCTTGTTCATATGAAACTTACTATGTTCCAGTTTGTGCCTGTTGCCTCTTGTTCTTTTGCTGGGCACAGTGACAGAACAAGAACAGCACAGAAAAGAACACCACAGAAAAGAACTTGGCCCTATCTACTTGACACCCTCCCTTTAAATATTTATAATCATTGATAAGATACCCCAGTCCACTCTTCTCCAGGCTGAACAGTCCCGTGTCTCTCAGCTTTTCCTCACAAGTGAGATGCTCCAGGCTCCTCATCATCTTTGTGGCCTTCTGCTGGACTCTCTCTAGAAGTTCCCTGTCTTTCTTGAACTGGAGAGTCCAGAACTACTCCAGATGTGGCCTCATCAGGGCAGAGTAGAGGGGGAGGATCACCTCCCTTGAACCCAAGGATCCCATTGGCCTTCTTGGCCACAAAGGCACACTGCTGGCTCATGGCCAACCTGTCATCAACCAGGACACCCAGGTCCTTCTCTGCAGAGCTCTTTTGCAGTAAGTCAGCCTCTAACCTATACAGATGCCTGCAGTTGTTCTTCTCCACGTACCCTTGTCAAAAGTCATCAGGTTCCTCTCTGCCAATCTCTCCAGCCTGTCCAGGTCTCACTGAATGGCAGCACAGCCTTCTGGTGTGACAGCAACTCTTCCCAGCTTTGTATCACCAGCAAGCTTCTGAGGATGCATTCTATCCCTTCTTCCAGGTCATTGATGAAGATGCAGAACAAGACCTGACCCAGTACTTGCCACTGGGGAACACCGCTAGCTACAGGCATCCAACTAGACACTGCGCCACCGATCACAACTCTTTGAGCTTTGTGAGTCAGCCAGTTCTCTATCCACCTCACCATTCACACATTTATCCCACACTTTCTGACCTTACCTATGAGGATGTTATGAGAGAGAGTGACAAAAGCCTTCTGAAGTCAAGGTACACAACATGCGGTGCTCTTCCCTCATCTACTCAGCCAGTGATGACATCATAGAAGGCTACCTGATGGGTCAAGCATGACTTTTCCTTGGGAAACCTATGTTGACTATTCCTGATAACCTTCTTCTCTTCCACTTTCTTGGAGAAGACATCCAGAATAAGCTGTTTCATCACCTTCCCAGGGACAAAAGTGAGGCTGTGATTGCTTGGAAAGGAAAGAAGAAGATGAACTGTCTGGATTTGATTTTCTTTTTGCTTTAGTTTTTATGTTTTATTTGTTTATTTACAAAAACATCTTTGAAAAGTTTCAGCTTTATCCCAGTGTAGAATACGAGCATTAATTGAAGAGCAGACTTTTTTTTTTTTTTTAATGGGAAGTCATTATGGGAAATCAACTTACACAACTGTGCAGTGATAAAACCAGGGGAATAATTTTAAACTAAAGCAAGGGAGATTTAGATTAGATGTCAGAGAGAAATTTTTTACTGAGAGAATGATGCAGTGCTGTGACACAATGCCCAGAGAGGTAGTGGATGCCCCATCCCTGGAGGTGTTTAAGACCAGGTTGAATGGAGCTCTGGGCAATCTGATCTAGTACCTGATGTAGTGGCTGACAACTCTACCTGTGGCATGGGAGTTGGAACTTGATGAACTTTGAGGTCTCTTCCAACCCAAGCCATTCTATGATTCTATGATGACACCTTCTTCCAGATCTGTTCTTGAAGCACTGTTGGGACGGAGCAAACTTTGAACAGGTCTGTCAGTTTTTAGAAGTCTGCCAAATAGACTGGTGCTGCACTCACTGTGGAGCAATGGGCTGCCTTGCTGGTATGGAAATATACCTGATTATGCAACGTAAAGCAGGATCAGGCCTCTGCATGCTCTGTGGTGTTCCAAAGATGGCACATGGTATGGCTGAGATTAGAAGTCCAGAGCTATCATGGCATTTTCTGCTTTGCATGACTTGCCTATGTACCTCAAAATGTACCCAAATGTGGACTAGAGTGAAAGCCCAGAGAATGATGATGCTGTGCAGCTGGGCAGAAGAATGTAGCTGACATGCGTTTTGTCTTTAGTTCAGAGTGAAAATGAAGGGGAGTTTCGTGAACTGCCTGAACACTTGTCCTTTAAAAGGTTAAAAGATGATAAAATCCTTTGAAATTGTGTAAAATTATATTAAGAAAATATTTACCGAGGTCCTGGGGAAATTGCTGCTGTGAAAAGTAGAAAGTGGTATAAGAAGGTGGTATGGAAGGTTGACAAGAGCAAGGAAACCTGACAGCACTGATACTGAAATGTGGGTTCACAACTTGGGTTAACCTCCAAGACTAGTCTCTCTATCTGTCCACCTTGGCTGGTGGAGAGAGAGGTTCTTCCAGGCATGTTTTGAAGTACCTAAGGCAGCACCTGCTCTGGGTAAGGAGGACAAGGACACTCAAGGTGTGAAAATGGAAATCCAAGATGTTGGAGCATGAATTCCTGGTGACAGCTGTTATGTCTAGGAAAATTCAGACCTGACGATTAGGGGACATTCCAGTGGGTGGCAGAGCACAGTTTGTGTATATGACTGAAAGTGAGGAAGGATCCATAGCTAGCAAGAGCAGAGCAGAAAGAAAAAACCACCCTTGAAATCCAGGGATGGTGCAGAAGGAGCCAACTTGTTATCCCATTTGTGCTGAAGGCCTCCCCTGACTCTTGCAATATGGCAGCCTGACTTCATGGGAAGATAAATCATCAAGTATTCTAAGGGGAAGGTTTTAATGAAGAAGCTTTAAGAATAGTTGACAAAAAAAAAATAGGATAAATTACAGAACTATTACAAGTAACAGATGACTCCAGAGTGTTTCCATGTCTGAACTTGCTCCCATGCTGACTTCAGATGCACTCTTGTGGTTTATTTTCAGAGTAGTTTCTCTGAGAAAAGAATTGCAGTGTCTTTTCTCCAGGGCCATGCATGTCCCAGATGAACCAGGCCTCCTCTAGCATATCAACATTCATTGTCCGGGTGAATTAAGTGCTGAAAAGTCTGCCATGCCAGCCCACATCAGTGACTGCTTTGCCCCTCCCCAGCCAGCATCCATTTTTTGCATTGTTTTTTCCTGAACAATATGATGTGAATCTGGAGACAGAAGCATTCAATGGAGTGCAGAATGAGAGGGAAGCAGCCATGGAAAAAAAAAACAGTGTGGTAGTGCACACATGTCTGAAGCCATGTCAATGGCATGGCCTCCTGAGAAGTTAGGACACAATAGGAGCAGCTCTTCATGACTGCTGGCACTCCAGGGCATTAGCACAGCTTTCACCTACCCTGATGGTATCCAAGCCCACACAGGTGAACCTTCTAAGTTACCTGTCTGAACTGGGTCATCATTCAGCAGAGCTATTCTCCTTCCCCCCACCCGCACTGACAGTGGGCAGCCTTCCTGCTTGCACTTTTTCTATCATCTTCTTCAAGCCTGCCTCTGCTTTCGGAGTGGTCTTCCAGCCCTGAGTCAGCACACTGTTTGGCATCGGAAAGCAGGTGTAACCCCGTGCATCCTTTTCAGGCAACCCATATAAGCAACTCTGTTGCTGTATAATTACAAAATTTTGTCCTTTTGTAGCCATTGCAATTTTTCTATCTGATCAGCAATGTTTGCGGAGTGTTGGGTGCAAGTTCAGCTGGAGTGACAAGCCTATGTTGTTTACTAAAAAGTCATTTGTTCTGGGGGGAAGATACAGGTAGCTGATTTCATTGTGCTGGCCGTGCACACTGGTGTTGGTACAAGGTATAGAACATCTGACTGTGAAGTGGTAATGATCAGTACTTATTCTGTTTTTTATAAAACTTTGCATGCTGTGTCTGACAAGGATTTTTATTCCGTCACCCTATCACTACAAAGATGCATTCATCAAACACAATGACCGTCATGGGAACCATTCACTGGGAAAGATGCTTCTCCAGCCTGTGCTCTGTTACATGGAGCCTATCTGCAGTGGGGGAAAATGAACAGGCTGCACAGAGCCAGCTGACTGCTCCTCACAGAAAGCACTGGGAGCCAAGGAGCATCCTCATGCGCTCCTTCCCAAATCACTTATCACTCTGCTGAGCCATTTGAGGCTGACTAGTGAGGGATGAACAGTCATTTTCGTTGATGTATGTTAAGAAACACACAAAGCACCTGAAGTACAGAGGGAGGTTTCGTAGAGAGGATGTAGAATTTGTTTTCACTGCTTCCCTTCTTAATCTCAGAGCGAGATTTCAAGCCAAAAAGTGACAGAAAGCAGCCCTGCACTTTATGAAGAGTACTCAGGAAGTGGACGCATCCCAATTCTCAGTCTAGTTCTTGCCCTCAGCACTCCGCACACAAGGCTCTGAGCACGTTGCCCTGAAGCCCAAATGTCACTCCTCACCCTAGATATAGTGGTCTGGGCGCTCAGGGCGTTTACACTGTCCTTGTCTGCTTTGCAGGAACGCTCGCCAACAGGGTACCTTGCATGGAGAAAGGGAGCAGAGCAAACCACATCGCTCCATCCAACGACACCAGCTGGTCCGCTCACCACCCCTCTGGCTAAAAGTCAAGCAAATAAAGCAGCTTCCCATCATGAAGTCCCTCTGAGGAAGCCTCAGTCCCACGGGTGCCTTTGACCCAGAAGACAGCACATCATGGACCCACACAGTGTGCTCAGCATTCCCGCGACCGCCCCTCTTCTCCTCCAAGGAACGCTTTCTCCTCTTGGTTTCTTGCTGTGGGGATTTTTCACCCTGGTTTCAAAAACCACATGGACCAACGTAGGTACTTTTTCCCTCCCTGACTTCAAAGTTCAGATATTTGAGACTGGACAGTGATATGGATTTTTTTTTTTCCTTTTTTTTTTTTTTTTTTTTTCTTCGAAAAACTGCTGTGGTTTTGCTGCTACACTAAGAATCGTGATTTGCATTGTATGGTTTTGGACCTATTCAAGTTTTGATGGGGGAAAGGGGTAATACTGGAGTAGCAACGCTTCAGAGTCATCTCTGTCCTACCCACGATGCACTTTTAAATGAAGAGGTAGAATATTTTATTGGCTAATATACTTTCCTTGTTATTTTTACAAAGGCCACCTTTATCCTTTCTAATGCCATATTTTCAGTGTTACACTTTTATGGCTTTTAATTTTTGATTTGACAGATGTAAGAAGCAGCATGAATAGTTTATACTGTGGTTTTTCAGAGACTGAATGCCAAGAGAACTCAGTAAATGTTTATTCTTCTCAGCTTTCTCTTTAAATTCCCCTAAATAGCGCCCCATTTGGGAACAGAGCAAGAGTGTTGAACTAAAGACCAAAATTCCCTCAAGGTGTAAAATAATCTGAGGGGAATATTTGCTGGGCGTCACGAAAGACTCGGATGAAATTTCAACCCTGATGGTTTTCAGTGATCCAGGAAGGCAGTGAGACAATCTCTCCATATGCATAGCCCTTTCATGATAATTAGAATGGTATGGACAAACCAATGAAAACAAGGGTAAAGTGAGAAAGATCCCTCATGATTCTGTTTCACTGTTTGCTTTCTCCTGTCATGGTTAAGAGAAATGTGCAATTCGATCCTCAATCAGTGGGTGGAGGATAACAGGGTAGAATTTACTTGTGTGCACTTGTACAGTCGTAGCCAAGAGTCCAAAAGTACACTAGAGCATGTTATACTGGCACTGAATTGGTAAGAGAGTCGTGGAGTATCCCATTCTGACAAATACAAAAAAAAAACAACAAAACAAAACAAAAAAAAAACACAAAAGAAAAAAAAAAAAACACAAAAAAAATCAAAAATAAAACAAAAAAAATTAAAAAAAATAATCAGATCACCTTGTGATACAGTGTAACTGTTTACTAACTCCAATAAAGCAATTGTTCACTCTCCAGTGTTCAGAGCACACCTTTTCTATAAGGCTGCTGCGGGGCAATGAGAGCAGTTGGCAGAAGTGGGGCTGATGGTGTTGGCGGTGCTGGGAATGGGGTTTCCGAGTCAGCTGAGCCAGAGCCTTGTAGCGACGGTGCACTGTGAGCACTATGTATATACTGTATTTCTATATTTTCCTTTGTACAGATTCACTTAAGTCAAGCTACTGTTTTACAGGTGCTCCTTATTTATTAGAGCTGTGAAAGCTTGGAAAACACACCGGGCGAGCGAGCTCGCTTTTTAAAAAAAAACACAAAAAAAAGAAAAAAAAAAAGAAAAAAAAAGGGCAGGGGGGGATCCAACAGCTCCTGAGCCAAGGGAGAGAACTCCAAGAGACATCAATGAAACATCTTCAAGAGAGCAAGAATCTAAAGCACCCTCTGTGTGCTCTGCATTCCTTTTGGGCTTGCAACACTTTTCTCTCTCCCTGACTGGTGTCAGATTTATTAAAACAAAATAAATCTCCAAGAAAAAAAATGCACTTAAACGTGCTGTTGTTTTATTATTATTATTTTCTTTTTGTGCATGCAGCTATTCACTCCTCTACCTGCCTGGTCACTGCTGACACAAAGGTCACTCTGAAGGTTGAGAAATGTGCCTAAATGATCGCATCTCTTCTGTGAAGAAAGGCTGAGGGAGCTGGGCTTGTTCAGCCTGCATCAGGCTGTGGGGAGACTGCGCTGCGACCCTTCAGTTCCTGAAGAGAACTTATGAACAGGAGGGAGACTGACGTTTTACACGGTCTGTTAGTGATAGTAAAACAGGAATGGCTTTAAACTAAAAGAGGGGAAATTCAGGTTATATTTTAGGAAGAAATTTTTTAATCAGAGAGTGCTGAGGCACTGGCACAGCTGCCCAAGAAATGTGAGTGCCCCATCCCTGGAGGTGTTCAAGGCCAGGTTGGATGGGGTTCTGGGCAGCTGAGCCAGGGGGCGGCAGCCCTGCCCATGGCAGGGGGTGGGACTTGGTGGGCTTTGAGGTTTCTTCCAGTCCAAGCCATTCTGTGATTGTAAGTGATCCTGGAGGCCATATCTGTGTCCCTTCCATTTTTGTGTCTCCATCATATCCCAGCTTTTGCAATATTCAAGGTGCAGGGAAAAAACCCAACATCTCATCTGCACTGAGATTCAGGCCCTGAAATACACAGGAGAGCCCTGTCAGCTGCTCTGACCGCAGCTCTGTTCCCTTCAAGGGGATATCTGTGAGCACAGTGTGCTCATGCCCATGCATTTGGGGCCCGTGTGTGGAGTGTGTTCCACATGCCTTTTGCAAGGATGTGGTTTTTCAATGCATGAACTCCCCCTGAAATCAAGCCTAGGCTCTTTCAAGAACCAAACTCCTCCCAAATGCCCCCAGCTCTACAACATCAACATGCTTGCGGGCCCTGAGCTGTCTTGCAGAAGGGTGTTTGCTTCCCAGCTCTTGGCCGGTGCTGCTGACAGAGGGAGTTGAAATGTCCGGTGAGCTTTGTAACTTCTGACTTGATTTCATTAAGCAGTCATGTAGGGAAAACAACAGCAGCAGAGGCACGCTGCTTGGAAGGGTGTGCAGAGCAGAGCTTGTCTCGCTAGTAAACAGCTTGCTACATCTCTATTTATTCATCTGAACTTGGCTATAAAATCAAGGCCGCATGTATTGATTTTGCTTTTGTCAGTGGTCCAGAATTGTTAGCACACATTTTCACTCTTCTGAAAAACAACAGACTCTTCAGAGAAATCTTTGTCTCCTGTGAGCTGCTTTTTCCACACGCGGAATCAGTATGGCAGAGGTGCAGAAAGTGATCGGGGCTGAAGTTGATTTGGGGTTTTCCAAAGGATCACAGACTTACCTTAGCTTTCCTGAAAATTTTCGTGTGTTATGCTTTTTTTTCCCCCCAAAATTCGGAATATGAACAACTGACTGAGACAGTTGAATTGGTTCATTGTTTGCTATTTTAAAAATATCTACAGCTGCGTATCTGTGGAGAAATCTCCAAGCACACATAAACCTTCAGCGAAATGTAGACCAAATGGTATGATACATTATGCAAAAGAAACCTGCTCTGTTTTTTAGGCCAAATCCACCCCTTGCATAATGCCAACAAAATGAGTGGAATTACACAAAGGACATGAGAAGGTCCTTTGCAATTAACAGGAACCCAGCAAAGGGCTGCAGAATGGCTCTCGCTCGCCACTGATGTTATTTATTATGGACTAATTCACAATAACCAAGCCAAGCCCTTTCCCAGAGAATCTACCATTAAGGAGGCAGACAAAGAAAATCCTGATGTACTGGGAGATGCACGGGAAGGCTCTGCCTGCAGCAGCCATTGCACATGTGCTGTTAGGAGCTGCAGAGGCTATGCTCACAAGCAGAAGAGATGGCTTTGCCTCAAGACCTTGAAATCTGCCCCATGTGAACCCCATCATGCTCTAGGCAGAGGGGGAGTTTGCTGCGATCAAGATGCTCGGATCCTTCTGCTGGCAATGAATGCTTGCTGCCAGCAAGCCTTGCCCTTGCTGCAAACACTCCGCATTAATTACCTTCCTGTTGTCCTAGATGAGTTTGAGGGCTTTTTTTTTCTTTTTTTCCCAGAACTGCTACACATTTTGCCATTTGGTTAGCTCAATTCCATGAATAAGATGGTCCCATAAAATGAAAGGATTTTGGTTTTTTTTATTATTTTTTTGTTTTTCTTTTTGTGTGTGTGTGTGTGTGTGCTAAATGATGGAAATAAATTTGCTTTGTTCAAATAAGAGCCATAAGCCAAATTTGCAAGGATGCTTATCCAAGTGAGATATCCCATTCTGAGGTCCATATTTGGACACCCAAATCAACACTCAGCCAAACACATGCATGAGGCATTTCAGCGCCATTCGGAGTGTCCATATATAGAACTGGATGCTCAAACTTCATTGCCTTTGTTTTAAAAATAGGCCTGGGATATGGAAAGGCATCATTTAATAACAACGATGACAAACATGCAGTTGTCAAAAACAGAACCCATTTGCCCGTGCCGCTGCAAGTTGATTCCCTCAGAGTCACTCTGGATTCTCAGAGATCTAATTCAAAAATCGAATTGCTTTGCTTTCCACTCCCACCCAAACCCGACTCAGTGTTTGGGATCACTTCTGTGATACTGTGAGGAGCTGACTGAGCCACCACCATGCCAAAAAAAAAAAGAAAAAAAAAAAAAGGCTGCTGACAGTCTCTTTTCCTGAAGCTGTTCCCTGGTGTCTCTACCAATATCTATTGTCTGGAGCAGGTGAGAGTCAAGACTGCTTCACCTGCTGCTCTCCTGAAATATTTTCTAAGGAAATACAGCACTGAGGGAGACAGAGCCAGGTCCACTGTCCAGGACCTTTCCTTACAAATGATGTAAGTATTTAAAAATTGTATTTAAAAATCTGCCTACCTGGGATGCCCAGACATACGACCTTCATAGGAGAAAGGACATCCTCACCACAATCTGTATGTAGGGCTCACCAGTATGCTCACCATATGAGGACATCCTCATTCACACAGCCATATGCCTTCTTTGAAAGACCTTGCAAAATCTCTTTAGTGAAAGGGGAAGGCTTGAGAAAAAAGCAATTCTTTCCTTTTTTCCAGAAAACTTTGTGGTTGGATACCTTGCTGAGGGACTGGGAGACTCCAAAGGTCATCTTCCATCCTCC